ACCTGAGCTTGTTTGCAGTGAGGTGTCTGCCACCGAGTTCAACAGTAATACTGTCAAACCATAAGTGATTTGGCCTTGAGTGACACAGAAAATCAATGATCGAGTCAGAAAAAGAACCAACATCTCCTGGTGCTCAGTGTTATTTCTTCTGCACAGGAAGGCACTACCAGAGAAGCACAAGGCTCTGCCACAGGATCCATCCCAAAGATTCTGCTCCAATTCAACAGGATGCTTAACAAAAACCTCAGAAAATTCTTCCTGTCTAATAAATTCTGTGGGGTTTTGCCTAAGGAAAATTAAAGGCATCTTTTCCCCAAGCTGTCTCATATACACACATGACTATAAACAAGCAATGCAAGCTTGCTTGCTCTTTCAAAGGCAGCAGCTGTGTTGTTCCAAAAATCCCTCCTGAATGTAAACATATTAGCACTGTATAAACAGCTTGATTTAATAAGAAACGCAATACAATATTCCTGCTTTGTCTTTGGGATCACAATGTTGATGGCGGCAATAATTCAGAGGTGAATTACGGTATCTGTTTGAAAGAAAGAAAAAGAAAACTCTCCGGCTATAGTTGTGAATTAATTTCTTCCTCTTAGCTGAAAATGAGAAATGGCTATAATTTAGTTCCCATTTAAAAGTTGCTGTTGGCTAAACTCTAAAATCTTAATTGCTTCTTAATATTCTGTTCTTATTTTTCCCTTTGAAACTATAGTCTATAGCATTGTAGCATTTAGATTAAAAATCAGAATGGAAAACAAACAGTGGAGGGTCACCAGTCACTCCTAAAATATATTTTTTTTTCTTAAAATGACAGAACTGAATGTGTATCAAAGTATTTTAGTTGATTTCCCAGCTCTAGTCACCCTCCTACACCTCTGCGAAAAAGAAAGTGGCACTGACCCTGGGTTTCCCTTAAAGTGTCAATACTCAGGACTTGTTCAATTTGCAACAGAATATAGTGGAAGTGCTAGAAAAGACATGTTTTCAGCCATATTATGACTCAGTATGCTATAGGAACTCATCTTGTTGCAAAAAAACCTGAAGTCACACTCAATCCCTAAATAGTTTGGAGGTCACTACCAAACACACTCTGCAATTCTTAGAACTTGTAGAAAAGGCTGTGAGAATAACAGTGGCAAAGACTGCAGACAACCCAAGTCAAATTTTAAACTGACCTTGAAGAACTGCAGAAGGATGTCATGATACTGAGCCTGGGTATAAAATCACAGATGCAAAACAAATGCCCAGAATGCAAAAGTAATGTGCTTGGGAAACTGCATCTCATGATGCACATGTTTTAACAGGCTCTGGATGAGCTACTTCTCAGAAATACTCGGTGGTTGTTCCTGGGAACCAGTATGAAAAGTACAAAAGGAATGAACGCAGAAAAAGATATACCACTGTGCTGCCACAGAAGCAAATGGTGAGGCTACATGTTGGGTAAAACAAGGATCTGGTCTCCTCACCTTTTCTGTCTGCTAAGACACAAATTCTTGACTTGATGCTAAAAGAAATCAGCGTCAGGCACTAGAGGTCCTGGGAGCAAGTCTCCTTCATCATGCCCATGACAGGATCAGCCAGGCCAGCTTTTCCTCAAGAGGAATCAAACACGCACAGAACCAAACTTAAATCAGAACCATCACTGTGCCTCCTGCCCAGGAAGCCCAACTGCCAAGCAGCCCCAGCAGACATTGTGGCTCCTGGTCATCCCGCGACACTGCTCTCCTCATTGTTCCTCAATAAAAGGCAGCGCAATTTTTGCAGCTTCATTATGCTGACCTAGTTTATTTTCCACTCTACCAACTTAAAATCACACAGCCCTCTTTGCACAGTAGTGCCATTAAAAGTACTGAATTCAAGAAACTCCAGTAGAAAGGTAATTCGGAGCTGCTGCTTGCCTGCAAGTTCCCATCCCTTTTCATTACTGAGATGGCCATCAAGCTAAAAAGATGGAAGTGACCCTTTCTCTTCAACGTCAGTCATATTCTTTCGCCATTCGTCCAGGATCCACACAGAAAAGGAACTGAGAACAGCAAATTACCTCTGCAAATAAGGGAGCCTCATTCAGAAAGGCACAGATCATTTCCAAATATATTCAATTACAAGAAATCTCTTAATGAACACAGCATGGAAGCTCAGCAGATAAAGAGAGAAAAAGCTTCATCAAACAATGACTGTTTCCTATCACTCTCCTTATCAAATAAAGGGAACAGAAAATGAAGCTTCCTTAAAACAAGACATCATCGCAAAACTTATTTCGTTGTTATATCAGGGAACGAGTAACAAAGGATAAGAACAGAGATTAACGCTTTGCCAAACCTCCACAATCAACTTTCCTAACTCCCTATTTTGGTCCCTGGATAACAGGGCATCGATGCAACGCAAACAAGCAGAAAGCTTCTCTCTGCTTCATTGTTCTACTTATGTCACCTCTGGTCTCAAATCATCTAATCCCACAAATGCTCAAAACCACAAAAGTGAAAATATCATTTGTTTCACCCTCAGATGTATTGCCAAAGGGTAACTATGTCTCTTCTGCATTTTCTAGCTCTCTGGGTTTTGTTTTATAATGCTTTTTCTCACACCAAAACAAAGGACTGCTGTGCAAGGAAAGACCCCTTGGTCCAGCACGCCTGTCCCCTTGAGGGTTATGCTTTCATAACAAGTGTTTCTCTGCTGTGCACTTCAATACCACGTTTCCCGTACTGAAAAAATCTGTCTCAAACTCGTTTCCATGCCATTTGCTTTGATGGTGTTATTTAGCAAATTATTCCATATGTTGCTCATTACATTTTAAGCTAAGTATTTCTTCCTGAAAACCCAGATCACTGTTCCTTTCAAACTTATAAATCAGACTGCAGTGTTCCAGGATCTGTTTTTTCCTTACTTTAAAACACTCACAGAGATAAACATTTTATTTTTCCTAAGGAAAGGTAATCACACTGAAAAGGGCATACAAAATGCTGTGTTGCCACTTCGATGACATGGTCTGCACAAAGTGAAATGTTACTGTGAATGATTTGTGTCCTAGTTGCTTGTTGATTTATCCTAAAACACGTTTACTTTTTTTATACACTCTCTGTATTTGGTAAAAAAAATCCTCAGAACTATGAAGGCAGAACCAGGAGATTATTTTCAAGCTAGTACACATGCGCTCTCAAGCTTGTTTATTGCTTCTCGATTTGTTGCTTTATATTTATCAAAAAACTTTGCAACATGGCATAATTTTCATGTCTATATTAATTTTTAATTGCCACCTTTTTTTTTTAGTATCAATTATATACAAAAAATTGATCCACTGCTATCAAGGGTACTAATGAAAATGCTCGTAATTTCACCAAAGCCACTGATTAATGTTAACTACTCATCCATATTATGGAGAGTAGATACGAAACAATTACTGTCCATATGCAGAAGAATAAATACTACTGGAAAAGTAATTTGGTTTCAGCTAAAGTCTTTGTTCATGTATCTTCCCTGATTTATGTGTGTGTTTCTTATTACAAAGCAAATAAAAATTTTATGAGGTGGATGGTTAGGGATTTTGAAGATAAAAGTATTTAACTTTCATTAACATATCTTAATTTTAGGCTCAAGTAACATTACCATCTACAACAGAAACTAGTATTTATCAAAAACTAGTCTTTAACTATCGGTCACTAAGCCAGTACTTTCCAGCTTTCACATCTTCTCAGCGATGCTATTGTTACTCTTTGAGCGAACGGAACACTAATTTTGCAATTATTTCTCTCAATCCATTAGTGAAATTGCAGAAAATGGAAATGTTTTCCAAACAATGAAAGGTACCAACATTCTTCTTGATAACAGCTGTTAGCATTTAATTTCAGAATTTCAGAGCGGTTGGTACCAGTGCAACATATATATGACCAATCCCTCACTACAGTGTTTTAGGATATACCATATCCTTCAAGCGCTTGCCTAGTGTGAATGTGACCAAGTTTAGTCCTTCAAATGAAGAAAATATGTATTGAAGGACACAACACTACAATGAGATCTTCAGAACCCTTCCAATTTCAGCTTTTGTGCATTCTTCACTGCAATTTTATTCATTGTCTTACTGCAATGATGTTAATTACTTGCAAATGTTAATAGAAATTATTTTCACAAGACTATTGTAATCTATTTACTAATATTCTTTCAAACATTCCCAGCCTCAAGAATCTGGCCAATTAATTGTCAGCAAAATGGGTGTACTGAAAAGTAGCTCAGAAGTTTTTTAACTGATTCTGCAAATATAATGATCAATGGACTTCTAATTTCTCACTGAAGCTACTTTTCTGTGCCCCTATTTAAGCAGATTTTGAAATAAGCCCTGAATACCTTCTGTGAGGTTAATTTCCATCACCAGACACCAGGGTTCTGGCACAAGAAGGTGCTGTAGGTTTTAATTTACTCTAAATCAAAGGGAGATGGACTTGTTGATGCTAACCCTAGTCTCTACCACTGAATCAACACCCACTGGTGTAAAAGACCGTATCTCTTTGTAAGAGGCAATCTTCACTTTCGAGACCTTGCAGGCTGTACTTCTGAACACTTCATCAATGCCAAAGAACTCCTACTCAGAGCACTCCTATGTAACGTGAAACACACTTATCCCCCTTTCTTGAAGTCAATAGAAGAAAAGAACTGCTTAAGATCACACAGGATGTCTGTGGCAAAACCACCCTTTCCTGAACGTCAAGATAAAGATACATTTTTACAGCTGTATTAGAGTAACTAATTGTGAAAATATTTGTTGGCATTACAGCTAGCTTTACCCATGTTAGAGCTCTAGCAAGCTGATTTTCATGACACAAACTCCCAATATTTAAGGCAGCCAAACAGCTAACTGACAGAGCTATTCTAGCATCCATTTAGCTAATGCATCTATCGCTGTAAAAAACTAGTAAAATAAAAATCACAGACCAAATTAAAAAACACCACCTGAAATGTGTTTTAAATCATAATCAGTTTCAATCAAAAGGAAAGAGGCTCACCTCCAGTAGACAAGCACAGCGATGAGAAGAATGAGGCACACGAAGGTCAGTGCTGAGACCACAATAAGCGGGATGATCCATTCCATCTTACCAGGAGAAGGTCTGGTGGCCATGCTGGAGCTGTTCTTGTCAGCTGTGTAAACACATAACAAACACCATCACTAAATGGCAAGAGAATAACTGTACGTAAAAAACGTGTAAGCAGAACAAATAGCTTGTCCGTTTTACATGGTAGGAGTAAACAGAGCAAAGATCTAACTGCAGGGTGGGACTCCATTTGTCTTTAGTCTGAGACACGAGAGCACAAAAGTATGGTGTTTATTGCCACATATGGCTTGGATTTTACTACTGCCTGTAATTACAGTCTCATAGACAATTTTCGGACTCTATCATGCAAGCACCTATTATCAGACGTGGAGTACCCCACTGAGTCATTTCACCACGGTAACAAAGTAAATGCTTTGCTCGGTCATCAGTGTGTGTAGATAAATGCACTCTGTTTCTCAACGCTACAGGACAGCCCTGTTTGCAATGCTCAGTGTAATACTTTGCTTCAGAAATAAATTTCTTGGTAACTATCTTAAAATAAAAAATCCTCAACATGTTGGGTGTCATGTCACATCATTTGCAGAATTGTCACAATCTGGTGAGTTACTGCATACGAAAGCACTTTTTAGCATATGGATTGTCAAGATGGATGGATGAATGAATGGATAGGATGTGTTGTAACTGACAGAAGAAATCATTATGCCACAGCTTTTGTACAAAATTAAAGTTGGTCAATATCCTGAGATCTGGCCAAGTAACTCCATCTCACTTTTCACATGGCATCTTGTTAAAATTACTGTATCATACATAAGACAAATATCTAGAAGTTCTGCAAGTACTGGAACCAATAAGCATAGACAATGTATTAACGTATTTAAAAAAAAAAAAATCTATAATTTGTGGAGACTTGAGGAATAAATTGTTTTAGACACAATGACAAAAGAAAAATACAGAAATGGCTTCTGTATCTTATTCATGTTTTTTAACAAACACCCGGTAGTTGATCAATACCTGTCAACAGGACGTAATGGGAAAGGATTAGTGTAAACAGCTTCAGATTTCAATAAGGACGGAAACATATGCACTTGGCTTTTACTTTTTAGCTACATGAGTCTTTCCTTACCAATGTGCTTCCTTGCTCTCGTTCAGTATTGTATTATCATATCTTCTGAAACTGCTGCAAATCCTACCAGAAGAACCTAATTGCCTTTTCACCATAGGCAGGCAAAACATAGATAATTGGAAGTCACCAGATGTCACATAATATGAAGTCATACTCTATTTTAATAGCATTTAGATTATACTCCTCCATAGGCAGGAGTAAAATTCAACTAACACGGAAGTAAAGGTTAATTGTAAATGCTTTTGCCTGACTGCTGAAAACAGAGCAAGGCTGCAGGCTGCTGCAAGCCCAGCAAGAAATCTTTCTAGTGGTAAGAATGAGGCTGATGGAGGTAATGCCCTTTAGCGAGCAGCCTAAATGAGGTGCTAATCAGAGGGATGTTTTGGGGAAGTGAACGTGCACTGAGTATAGAACTGATCAAAAAGAGAGACGAGTAGCCAGTTGTCTCCAACTTCAGTAAGAAAGGCCACCGAGGCTACCAGCAGTGCCACTGCGCAGAACAGGCACACAGCGTTGTACCTGGAGCACGTGGTGAGCTTTTGTGTTTGCAGCATACTAATAACACACAACATACTGCTTTTAAGACAGGTCTTTGATTTCCTTGACTAACAAAGAATAAGGAAAAGAGCAACCCCCAAATTAGAGCAAAGGCTTATTCTCTGTATCTGCCAAACTTGCAAAAACTGTAAGCCCTGAGGCATTGTTTTTTATCGGTGCATTTCAAGTCATTTAATAGCATGAAAAAATAAAGCCTGTGAGGTAAGTGTAACTAATCAGAATGTAAAAGGGACCAAGCAAAAAAACCACGCAACGTAATAAAACTTCGTAGGAGAGGCAAATAGTCCCACTACCTTAAATCCATTAGAGTGTTGCTTCATTTCTCTCCAAGGACAGTATTCTGTTTAGTTTCACCTCCACATATTTCAACACAAAAACATATGTTTCTGTTTGCATGGGAAGAAAATTAAATTCCGTTGCAAGCACAGCATGGGCTGGAGTCCCAATGCACAGTGCTCACGATGCTCCTCTTACTCAGCCTACTGGGGAGAACACACCTATCTGACCCTGTCAGCTCCCTGTGCCACAGCTGCGAGGATAAGAAAGTGTTCAGTATGCCGAGTGCCAGAACTGGAAATGCCATTCCTGCATGCTGATGGCTGGCCCTGCAACTCCAGTTGGGAATGCACAAGCAGTGACGTGCTTCAGAAAAAAAGAGACCTTCCCAGTGCTGGCTTTGAGGAAAAAGTCTGAGGTGTTTTCCACTGCTTAAGTGTTGAGAGAGCTTAAACAAACCAATGCCAATAAAAATTGTACTAGACTGACAGCTGGGGCCAGAAGTACAGCAGTACAGCTGGGTTTTGAGTGTCATGGCAGAAGAGTCAAAGAAAAGGCAGCACACTGGGTAACTTGGAAAAAGAGTTGAAGAAAACACAGACAAAAAAGGCAGATCTGGGCCCTTACAGCTTCTTGTTCCACTACATAACGAAGTATTACAAAATAAAAAATAGCATTTCACTCTTTTCCAAAGCAAAAATGTTGAGCCTTGGTAGTGTCAACAGCATATCCTTGTAACGGTGCCCACCATACGCTGTATTTTTGGGGAAAAAAAAAGGCGCTTAAAAAATGGACCAGAAACTCCATTTTTGCTAAGAAATGTAAACAGTTTCCAGTGGCATATGCCTCCGTTGAATTAATTCAGTTTGCCTTTTACTGGCTTGGAATTCATCCCAGTAGGAAGGAATAAAAATTATTACAGCCTATCTGTTTCAGGAGGTCCCACACGATACGAGCCTTGGTGCTGCTAAATCCACTCCCGCGTCTGGAAAAATCCATCACTCCCATGAACAACCCATTCAGCAGTTCCACCCAGGGCCGGATGGATGAGGCCCTGGCACCATTGGAGGGCGTTAGGCAGTGAGGGAGGCTTTGGCAGTGCAACATTTGCACAAAGGTCAAGGCAAGAAAGAGGCTTTCTACAATTTGTGCAATATACTGGTTTTCCACGTATTCTTGGTAATTGGTTCCTGATAATAGAAACATGTTTATTTCCCTTAAGTAACACTGCTTGCTATAATAAGCAACCATAGCTGCAATATATGACCTGTCTACCTTTATCATCCCTTGCCCTTGCACAAACCACCAGGACAAAGTTCTGTTTGTTGTACTGGTAGAGATTCCGTTAACTGCGACAACACGACTGTCCTGCAGGGCAAAAGAACCCCCCGGCTGCCGAACTGCCTCAGACCGCCAGTCTCTTGAAAGAATGGCACCTGATCATCTTTCCTTAAGTAAATGAAGCTATGGACTTATACAAAAGGTATCAATTAATTCTGGAAACTAGTATTGGCTGTATTACTGAACTACGAAAAGGCCAAAGCGTATGCTTTTAAAAAGAGCATTGCCTTTGATACAAGGTCATGTCATTGTGCATGTATTTTCTCCCTCTTTATTTAACAGCATTAAGCTTCACAGGCTGTGCACAACTAAGCATGGCTTTCCACTGTTTTGCAAACAGATGCCAATCATATTTAATCCTGATGTCAGATACCTGAAATTCATACTGTTTGCAAACATCAAACAATTCAATCCTTTTATTTTCAAGCCATTCCACTGTTTGCTCCTGTGAGCTGCCATGCAAAATGGCTCAAGTGCCATATGAAAATACAGCTTAATAATCCTTGCCACGTATGGAGGAAGAAAGAATTACACAGATGTTTAATTATCTTAATGAGGTTATCCCCAAAAGGCTTTTGTAACCTCAGACCTGGCAAAGACTGTTCTAAAATCCAAAATTCAGTCTCTGCTAAAAGCATGCGCCAGGCTTGAAATCTAACCCTGCACACATCATGATCTCCCTCCAAAGCCCCCTCATCGGGGAAACCTGCTCTGCTCACAACAGCCCATTCCTTACCTCCTGTCAAACACAGTTTAACTGCCAGCATAACAAACCAAAATTCTGTGAGATAATATCTGTTCTAGCCTGATTAAACAAAATCATGCTGGGTTTTGGATTTTTGTGTGGTTTTTTTTCCCCCCTCACTCTTTTTTTTTATTTGGTAGAGCATCATTCTAATTGCTGTTTTTCTAATTTTCAGGTTTCAGAGTCATGGACAATGCTGAGCAGCTGCGTGTGTAACAGTAGCAGATCAAAGGTACAATTAGTCTAATGTGGGCACCAAAACAGAGAAAAAGATGATCAGGAAAATGAAAGAGGAGAATGCAAGCAAGCATTCAGTGACAGAAGAAAATCATTAGCGTTGGCCGATACCACCACACGAGAAGAGGCCGATGCCATTTGGAAAATAATGACATGGCCTCAGGAGAGGTGTGTGTGTATGTGCTTGTGAAATAAGCACTAAAAGAAAATGAGCCCTGCTCTACTAATTGGCCTCGCACTTTCCCCCTAATTTCTCATGTGTTCCCTGCTCTCCTCTAATCATCCACACTCCTGAGTACTTCCTCATTCAGTTATCTCCTCACAACTGCTAATTTGATGCAATATAATTAATTTTACAAGTGTACATTGTTATGAAACAATTTTCTACTCTTTAAAATTCTTAAACTTTCTATTCACAAAAGCATTTTTGAAACCTTGACAGCTTTTCAACAAGTGTTCTCCTTGGAGAAGAGATGCATCTGAAAAAGTTTCTGCTCTCAGTGGGACACCGTAAGCTGCAAGGGTTCTTTCTGCTCATTTTGGAAGAAGCCTTTACGCTCTTTAACTGGAATGCTTTCAGATATATGCAATGACCTCTTGGCTTTGCTGGTCATCCTTACTTCAGGCTTACCTTGTTATTTATAGGAAGAGGCTTATGTGTGGAGTTTCACTGAACTCAACTCCTTGCATGAGCTAGGTCAGGTCTATCTGTACAAATTTCCATGTTACTGTTGGAAACAATAAAACTGAAGCATCTAGGCTTGGGCTTTGTGCTAGTGTTTGGTTGATGGGCCAGTTCACCAGCTGTGAGTCTTGCTGCCCTGTGTCTTTGGCAACCTAGATGCAGCCTGGAGGAAAGCTCCTTCTCTTGCATTCCTAAGAGTCTTCTGAAAGGGGCAGCTCTGCCAACTGGCCAGATAGGCCTTACTCAGGAACATCTGGTAAAGTATTTGAGCAAATTCCAGGTTAGGTAGACCTCAGCTATCCACTGCAGAAGCCTGGTGAAACAAGATGCAAAGAAAAGAAGGACTTGCCTGAAGACACTTTGAAAGACAAGGTCCTCACACCTGGTACAAAGAGATTCAGACTGAAAGCCCCTGTCCCAAAGCAATAAAGAAACATCTCAAAATGTTCTCAAGAGTTGAAAAAACACTACCCCCTCCCAGTGTGTGGACAGAGGGTCACTAGGTTTGTGACCAGTCTTTGGCAGCATCACTCCAAGACTCCAAGTGAGCAGAGCTCTTAAAAGAGGCTGTCTAGTAGGAGGCAAAGCTGTTTTGAACTACTTTCAGTGAGAGTCCTTTGCATGCTAAAAAGAGTCAGAAATTACTACAGACTAAGGGGATACAATTCACAATAACCAAGAAGTACTTCTCAGCAATATTAACAGTATTGCTCCATCTCACTGATATTCATCTTCTTCATCTTAACTTCACCATGGAATAATAAACAATCTAATAACAATCTCTTTGTCATGAGCTAAGAAACAAGACCAGCTACCCTTCTTTCCTCCAATTTATTAGGCTGAGAACAAGCCTTGTGGCCTTTTCTGTGTGGTATTTAAGGAACATTGTACTTGGACCATCCATGAAACTGGCACATGAGAAAAAGGGAAGCAGAAGGCACGAAGAACTGAAGACAACTATTTCAGAGGCAGATTTATCCATGCAGACTCAGGTTTGAACCTAAATGGTGCTGAGTGTTTACTCCCAACATTGCAAAGCACAGCTAGGACAAATTCCCTCCTTCCTGCTAAAAAGGTGATTACGGGCAAGTAACACGTTGAAAGCTGCCTGATGGGCATCTCAGACCATATTCAGTGGGAGCACAGGGCTTTGAAGATTTCCAGCTGAGGAGTAAGAAAAGTGCAGTGTATTCTAAAGAGTCAGCACAACCTGCTGCAGGTTTCGTGGTTTCCTTATTGTTAATCTGTTCTCTCACAGAACAGTTATGATTCACGGCATTAGTGTCAGGTCAGCATTTCTGTAACAAATGTTATAAAAACGGGATTTAGCTTTGTTTTTTAAATTGGTTCTGAGCTATAACTAAGTGTCCAATGTCTGCATTTTTATGTTTATAAATGTAAGGAAAAATAAATATGTAAAGCTTTTTCACAGTAACTCTACAGCAGCTTCGATGGAAAAACAAAATTACAAAACAGTCTCTAGATTAGCAAAATAAATAACAACAGTAAAAAAAAAAAGTGCACTGTCTTGTAAATACTGTGGTAATACACATAAACACTCAGATAAACTCGTTTCCGGATCTGAATCTCAGTCCTCACTCTGCAAATAAATCCATACGCATGTACTCCATTTGCTCCTTGCAGTTATAAAATCTGCTTTTCTCACCAGTGCCTGGAGCTCCCCAAGTAGAACCACATGCACATGCACTAGATTTTCTGCACAGCGAGCTGGGAGCACTGTGAGATACCTGTTTGCATAGGCCTGTGCAGCAAATCCCAACCACACAGGGCTTGGTTCACGTGCAGATCACCTGGGCGTGCTTCCAAAAAGTTGTATTTGCTGTGTAGGTACTATGGAGTTGATACATACATCCAGAGTTAGCACATACAGGAGCACTGGGAATACTCTACACATTGCCAAAATATATGAACTCTGCCTGGCTCAGATTTTGTTTCTTGCACAGTAAAAAAAAGAAGGTAACCCTAGTGCAAAAGGTGCCTTGTCTTAGAAGACCAATGCATGTAAGTTTTGTGGTGAGAAATAAACCAGTGATGATCCTGTATTTCAGGGAATAGCTCAAAGCCCAATCAGGGAGAATCCTGCAGATAAACTAAATTAGCTTACAGCATATATAGCAACCTTCCCATGAAACACCAGCTCGGCACAGCAACCGCTCCTCCAAATTAATTTCACAGTTACAGTTCACTGCGTTCCCCTCTCATTTTTTTCAAAACCCGAAATGCAGCATGTTGGGGGGTTAACACTTTTCCAAATTTACTCTTCTAGTAAGCTACAAGGACCCAATAAAATAAAAGGATGATCCTTCCTCCTCTACTTCCCCCAATAACAATTTGTGGGCCAGGACTTGTGATGACCTGTCCACTGGCTGAAGGGAGGCACCACAAAAATGTTGTATCTACTGGAAATCACTAAGGAATTCGAATTGTGTCACTTTCCAACAGTAATCTGCTGGTAAAAGCAACTTCCCTGGAGGTCACTCACCTGGGTTAACGGTGATAAATTTGTTATCTGAGGGGTATTCCTCTGGAAACCTGTCTGCCTTCGGAGGTTTTCTTGTTGTCTCTGGTCTTCTTGGAATCTTTCCCAGGTACAGTTCGTTGGTGAACGCTGGTGGCACTTGGGTGGAAGGAAGCGGCTGGGGCTGAACGTCTTCTTCGGCAAAGCTCTCTTCTTTGGGACCTCCAGCCGTGGGGACAGCATTTTGGTTTGGCTCTTCACCCGATATGGTTTTATTTCCTTCCTCCTCGGCAGTCTGGTTGGGGGAAGCTGTGGCCATGCTGAGCTCCGTGCTATTGCGCTCCTCCGTGGCCGCTGTCGCCCGGCTTTTCTCCTTCTTCTCGGCCTCTTTTTCTTCCTCCTCCTCATGCTCCCGCTCCCCATCCTCGCTTTCACTCTTTTCATCCTTCTCCCCCTCCTCGGCTCCCTCGCCGTCCTTTGTCAGTGCCGAGTCCCGCTCTGGCCCCGGGGAGGCGGCGGCAGCGGCCT